AAAAATCTATGGTTGGAAACAATTGGTGACATGGCTCAAAATCGTTCTCAGTGGCGCAGATGCATCCACTCCCTGTGACTTATGATCTTCAATGAAACTGTTTTGTATTTCTTTATTACTCCTTTGTCTCACACCTCTGCTCACTGTTTCTATTATGCTTTTCTTGTACTTTCTTCTCTTGCTTCGCGTGCTACACGGAATGTGGCGACTTGAACTTCCGCATATTTGTGCAAAGTTCTATGTCGAAAACAGACAGACAGACAAATTCTTATGTTCTGATAATCTGACTATCCCTGACCTACCAGTTTGACCTATGTATTTGACCTCACAGTCATTGCAGGGTATTTTGTAAATTATATTATTCTGTTTAATTGGATCCACCGTGTCTTTTAGCCTACAGAGCTCGTCTCTGAGTGAGTTTGTAGGTTTGAATGCCACCCTAATTCCTGCTTTATTAAGAATCCTACGTAGGGCCTCAGATGTCCCTTCCTTATATGGTATAACAGTGGATGACTTATATTCTTTCTTATTTGTGTTATCATTAATAGTTTCACCATTATTTTTATTTTGCTTTTGGTCTTTACTGATCTTCCTAATGAATTTTATAGGATAGTTATTCAACACCAACGCTTCTTCTATCTGTTTTATTTCGTCATTTAGGTCCTTTTTTGTGCTACTTAGTGCCACTGCTCGGTTTGTTAGACACTTCACTAAGTCTGCCTTAACAGTCAACGGATGAGACGAATTAAAGTCTAAATATCTATTAGAATGCGTTGGTTTTCTATAAACACTAGTGTGTGGTTTGCCTTCTTCTATTCGTTCTATCTTACAATCTAACATACCTAATTCTCCTTGTTCATTTTCTGATTCAAATGTGAATTTTATTCCCTCTACTTGTCACTTTATGTGTGTCAAGAAGCTAGAGATATGTTCTGTTTTTAACACTGTGTGTGAAAGTGTCATCCACATATCTCCACCATATTTTTGGAGTAGGAGTAAACGTATTAAGAGCATTACTTACGCAGCTGTCCATAAATATGTCTGCTACAATAGGGGATATTGGTGATCCCATTGCTACACCTTCTGTTTGTCTATATATTTTGCCTTGAAACTTAAAGATGGTAGATGTGAGACATAACTGAATCCCTAAAATAATTTCTTCAATGGGCAGCTTTGTCCTATGGTTCAGTTCAGGATCCGCAGTTAGTTCTTTTTTAACTGCTTCTAAGGCCATAATGACTGGTATATTAGTGTAAAGACTAGTTATATCAAAACCAACCGTTTTTTCATCATTCTCTAGTTAGAAAAGGTCAATCCCAAGAATTGTACATCCCGACTTACTCTACGGTGGTCCGTAGCTGGCGGTAAGTTTACTAATACGGAACCAACCAAAGAAACCAGATCATACAGGCCCTGTGTGACCGGCCTCAAGAAGTTGTTCCCTGTGCTCTGCGGTCACGGAACACTAACGCCGTTTCTGTTTCAGGTACCTGAAGAAGTAACAACCACCCACACACTTCCAGTAGCACACGAAGCCTTCCCGAGAATCACTCTCCTTTAGCCATATCACCTTCCTCATCTGAATTCCCTACTACAGTCTACCATTCTTCAGACAAGTGGGTCATCTTCATTTCACTCTGTGACCGAAGACAACTATGAGAGGCACAGAAACACTCCGGACAGCCACTTAAAGCCACATCGCCAACTTCATATAGGAGCATTTAACGTCAGGACCCTCTGGCCGATGGGACAACAGGCATCACTAGCAAGAAGTCTGTAATCTTGAGTCATGGATGTATGTTGTGTTTCAGAGACACGCATACAAGACCCGAGTGTGGTGATTCACTTAACCTCACCCGGCCAACAAGGCGAATCTGCGAAATTCACTTTAGGGTTGTCAGGAGACTCCTCAGCTAGTTCGCGAAGACTCGCCGGTATAGAGATAACATTGAGAGTTAGGTTGGGAAAATCGCTTCTTGACTGGATCCCAGTAGATAGTCGTATGTGTGGGGTCCGTCTGAACGGGTCCGTTAGAAGAAGGAAGGACGCCGTTACGCGTCAATGTCTTTACATGTCTTTACAGAACTGTAGATGACGATCGTATGGAATTTGTTTCCGAGAACGCTACAACGGTGATCGGCTTCCACAGTTCTGTTCAGATAATCGTGTGTTCCTGGTCATCAATAAGTTGAGGCACAAAGAGAGACACTGTGTAACCTGGTGACCTCCATCACAAATCGCCGCTGGACTCAGATAGACCACATAGCGATAGGGTATGGTTGATGAGGGTCAGTAGGAGACTTCCACTCATTCTGGAACATGTGTCTAGGCTCCGATCATACCCTGGTCCGCCAACATTTCTGCTTACGATTAAATGGACATAAAAATTGTTGGTAACGAAGCAGTTACGTCCTCAACTAGATTGAGACTCTGAGTCCCTATTTAAGGAAGAAATAGTAAAATGAGTATCTGAGGTCGACAGCATGACTCCTCCTGATGTAGCCTGGCACGACATACAGCTAGCTGTTGACATGGCTGTCAAAGCTGTTAGTAACCTGAAACCTTAAGTTAGTAAGAGTCATTGGATTTCTACGACCTGATCCGAACTGATTGACGCAAGAAGTCTGGTTCCGGTGGGCTCCGATTATGATGATGAGCGAAAGCTACTCGAACGCAAACTAACAAGAAGCCTCCGAATCGACTGTGAACAGTGCTGGGAGACAAAGGTGAAGGAGATAGAAAAGGCATCGGCGACTGGTAACACCAGAAAACTATTCAGACTTATCAGGGAAACAGGTGGTAAAAGGCAAACGATAAGTGAAACAATCTCTGAGAAAAATGTCACCATAATTAGCTCCCGTGATAGACGACCAGGATGTTGGAAAGAACACTTTGAGGCGCAGTTTGATTGGCCTGCAGCCACTCTCAACTTACTAAACATCCAACACTTCCCTCGATGAGATATAGACACAGGTCCACCATCCCCAACTGAGGTTACTAAGTCTGTCACTAATCTGAAACAAGGCAAAGCTGAGGGACCTGATGGAATGACTCCAGAAGTGTTTAAGTACGGTGTAGACAATTTACTGTCTGCGTTAACTGAGGTGCTAGGCGGCGTCTTGGAATTAGAAGAAGTCCCGTCATGTAGGTGTAAGTCACTGATTATCCCGATATCCAAGAAGAGAGACAAGTCCTTCTGTGATAATCACAGAGGGATTAGCTTGACTAATATTGCAGGTATCTAAAGTTCTAGGCGTAGCCTAAGCGGTTCTTGGTAGGAACAAACACGAGAGAACCAGGCGGGCTGTAGAGCAGGAAGAGGGTATATCGATCATATCTTCACCCTTCGACAGATTTTGGAACGGAACATAGGCATACATACGTACTGGCATCAACAATCGTCATATTTGTTGACCTGAGGGCGTCATTCGATGCTGTCAACCGTGAGGTACTCTGGCTATGTTTGGCTGTAAAGGGAATTTCGAGAAAATACATTGCACTGATCATGGGGGCATACGGCGAGTTGTCATCTGAAGTGGTGACAACTAGTGATGTCCGTCAGGAGTGCCCACTATCCCCATTTCTATTCAATTTCATCATGGATGTACTAATGGAATTAACCCTAACTGTTGACTTCAGAGACTCGGGAATTGACTTGTTACCATGAAGGAAGAATAGTCGTGTTGACTTGTAATATGCATGGGGATGATATAGTCCTTTGTGCTAGGTGAGTTAGACGCTGGCAAAATGGAGTCTTCTGAACATCTTGAAGAGTTACAATCTTCGAATGCTTGGCATGCGATTCGCTCGTGTTGTCAAATGTTAGATGATGGTACAGGAATGACAGGACTACACTGACTCCTAGCTTAGGAATAGGGAGTGAAGTGGTAGAGCGTGTTGACCGCTTCACTTATTTGGGAAGTTGGATCAGCCAGCACCAACGGGTTGATCGCTGACGAAATCTCCGCACGGATACAGAAGGCTAGTTTCGCATATGTTAGTTTACGCTGCGACGGTAAAAACCAATGGCTGGAAACTATTAGTGATACGGCTCAAATAGTTCTGAATGCCTGGCGCAGATGCGACTACTGCTTGTGACTTGTAATACCCAATAAAACTATATTGTTCTTTGGTATTACCATTCTTTTTGCCTCATATCTCTGTTTACTGTCTATATTTTACATTTCTGTTAACTTTCTACTCTTGCTTTGTGTGATGAGTGAAGTGTAGCGACACGAGTTTCTGCACGTTGATGCATAGCTCTATTTTCTATAGTTGGTTTCTAAGGATTTGTTTTGTTTTTACGAGATGACCATGGATTGATATCAGTTAGAGAACCATTGAAAACCAGGGAGTACTGGACAGTTGTTTCATCCTAGTTTGGTAGTCATCGGCAGCACACACCCACTGGGGTTTGAACCCACGACCTTCCGGTTACAAGGCAAGCTCGTATACCTTACAGCCACTGGGACCCGATTCAGGGGCTCATTTATTCTAACTTCTACCAATTCGTGGTTTAGCGCGACCTGTGTGAGGATGGATGGCCCACCTACGACATTGGTTGGGGTCGCGCTAAATCACGAATTGGTAGAAGTTAGAATTCATGAGTTACTGAATCGGGTCCCAGTGGCTGAATGGTATACGAGCTTGCCTTGTAACTAGAAGGTTGTGGGTTCAAACCTTAGTGGGTGTGTGCTGCCGATGACTACCAAACTAGGATGAAACAGCAGCTGTGCGGTACTCCTTGGTTTTCGATGGTTCTCTAACTGATCTCAATCTGTGGTCATCTCGCAAAGTTCTATGTTGAAACCATTCAGTCGGACTAGTCAGCTCAGTGTGGTAGTCGTCTAAGTCAAGGAACATCGTTGGAGATGTTACTTATCAGTTATAAATATTGTATAAAAATTACTTTTGTTTTATATCTGATATTCATTGATCTCTGTTTTAAACATTTATCTTTAGAGGCATTAGTAACTGGATATATATTTCAATGTTTGTAGGTTGATTTCGCGAATTGTTACTTGGGTGGCGGTATTTTAGGCACTGGATGTGTACAAGAAGAAATTATGTTTGCTCTACGCCCAGAATTGTTAATTAGTTGTTTATTTGTTGAATGTTTGGATCCTGATGAAACACTTATTATCGAGGGTGCGGAACAATATTCAGTGGGTTCTGGTTATGCTGATAACTTTTGTTGGGCTGGAGATTTTGATCATTCAAAGAGTGGGATGAAACGGTAAGTTTCAAATAAATTCATAATAATAATAATAATAAACGAACTTTGGAACAACATTAAGTGGGCATTATTTTACTTCTATTTGATTGTCCATCACAGAATTATGTCGATTTGGAAGTTGGTTTTCGAAATGACCTTGACTTGACTGCAGCTTTTGATAACATTCTTATCATCATAAAATGACACTAGAGATGATGGTTGAGTTGTCAATGAAAAATTCACCTCGCATGTTGCTACTTCGTAGAATCCTACATCCTGAATATTAAGGATATTCATTATTATGCCAAGTTCACTAGATACATTTTGGAGATTTGTTTTTGTTGTCTTCAAGAAGCAGCGGGGGCAGTGACTCATTGGTTTAGGTATTTGACTTCGGTGATATGAGTTTCAGCTTTGTATCAGCTTCACAAGCACACTGAGTTGCGGATCACTAGTTATCGCCATCAGTTCTTATGCAATAGATGTATTTCATAGCCTGCCGTTGAAACCTGCAGGCTGGATTAACATAATGACTGAATTTCATGAAGCAGTAAGGTCTTTCAGGGTAGCTGTTTTCAAAATCAATCCTTATTTTAAAAAAATAAAAACAAGACAAAAAAATACATGCGCTTATGTCGTTTTAGATGTTTTCTACCATGTAACGTCATTAGTAATTTTTAGACAAGATCTTAACAATCAAAATATATGAATTCCAATCCACACTGTGCATCCTGAAGTAAGTAATTATCCATCGGACTACTTACGATTCTCCAGAAACGTTTGCTGTTTAGAGTTGTTTGTCACACAAAGATTTATCAGCAGTTTGAAAGCTTGAGACGAAAATACTCTAGATAAGGTTAAAACATATATCCACTGTGGGCTTATCCTCAGTAGTCTGAGGATATGTTTAGTGATTACTGCTTCTGTAGAATTGCCCGGATTCGGTAGCTTCATTGTGTAAACAGTTCTAAGGTCTGATACGTGTTTGTCTACAGGGTAGTTGTCTTACAAAAAGTGATATCATTCTGGAACACTGGTTTTTTTAGATTAGATGTATTCTTCGTATGCTACTCCATACACTCTCACATGGTGGTTTACTGTTTGCTAACCCTGGCACTACTGGAAAAGATGGAGAGGTGGTTGTCTCATGGCGTGGTGAAAGACAGTTGTGTTGGGCGACCATCTATTCGTCTATTATGACTTCCTGTGACACAAGATGATACAGGCAGATGTGACTGTGAGTGGAAATCAGTGGTTAACATGCCACATTTCCCTCCTTTTTCCTACTACTGAAAGTAAGAGACTGTAATAAACACTTTAATGAGTGTACTTGAGACTTTTGTTTGCGTGTTTCTTTTTCCTGCTAAACTTTTTTTAATTTATCTTCTGCTTATACTGTTGTTGGATTATTTTACGTGGCATACGTCCTTGCGCGAATAATATACCGAGTTTACCATTACAAGCTTTGCTTGTTCACACACTTATACTCAAGTCAGTTCTTTGCATGTATAACTGTTTTCCTCTCACAGATAACCACAACTCTAGCCTGACAATCATTATTGTGTGTTTTAACAGTATAGCTAGTTATGCTAATCGGAAGAACTATTCCTTAAGCTCCTGTTATATCAGAAAGGTTAATTGTGTGGCTAACTTAAATGCATTTCAACTGCACTGTACATCTAGGAAGAAGAGGTTAACTGAAGTTGACCTTGAAATGTTTGCACTCTATTTTCTCCCGTATTAAGTAGGTTTTTTATGTATGATAAAGCTGTGCAGGTAGATAGCTAGATACAGACAGCATTGAATAGGTAGTTAGGTACGAATAGTCTTAAAATATTCCTTGGGCTTTTCAGTCGAGCGAGCGTAACGCTTTTATCCGTGCACCTAAGATTAGACATGCTTATAATGTTAGCCCCAGCTGACAGTCAACCTACTTTGAGTAGAACGGAATACCTATTTGGTAGTCATTTACCTTTATATTAAAATTGCCCAAAGAAGTATTTATTTAAGATATGTTTCCTACTGAGTGAAACTTCTTCCCATCAAACTTATCTGCACCTTTGTTTCTTTCGGTTTATAAGGAGTAATACAAATTCGCTTACAACACCAACTTAAGTGGAATCTGTTTTAATCATACGTTGACTAAGCATCCAATACTTGTGATAGTTCGATGGAGTATTGAACTCAGAAAATCAAGATGAGTGTCAAACCTGAATTTCCGTCAAATTTTCATCTTTCAGTAGGTTTGAAAAGTAGATGTAGGCACTCGATGTTTGCATTATCTTTAAATCTAAATGTCGAGTTCAGTTTCATCAGCGGAGATGCACTGTGTCATCTCATGTCTTTGAAGAGAGTGCCAGGAAAGTATATCATGCAAAGTCACATCCATAGGAGGGCTTTTAAAAAGCACTTTCCAAGGATGCCCAGTGTCATTATTATTGAAATTTGTTCTAGATGTGTTTATAGTGATGGTTTTGCCTTTGATCTACTTCACAGGGGCTAAATTGCTATCTAGAGGAGTTGATTTGATAGATTTAGAGTACATACACAATATAGTTTATTTGCTAAAACATTTGACCTCCAGCTAATGGTTGTGAATTCCGACTGAGAAGCGACGAGTGTGAGATAGAGGAGGGGATGCGAAGAGGAGATGAAAGCATATAAGCTGAAATGAAGCCAGGTGAAAACGTTGTCAGAGAATAGAACGCAATGGAGACGTGGGGCTGAAGCCCTATGTTCCTCTCGGAACTAAAGGAAACAATAATAATAATAATAACTCAAGGCATAACTTTTAGAGACGATGTAGTCATGTTTTGCAAAAGCATTGACAGTATTCAGAATTATTTGAATACCTTGAATAAATGTGCATGGATTTCACGTCTGTGATAAGTTAGATGTTGCTATAAGATAGTTTTGTACTAACCTATATTTAAAGGGATGAGAAATTTAGAGAACAAGTGAATTTATTCCTTCAGGATTGAGTGATGATAATATCCTTCCGAGAAAAAGGAGTCAACAAGCTGCTTCATTTGATCAGCGAATTAACTGTATCTTAGTATACTAAATTAACTGAGCAGCATTATTGTTTGTGTGCTCATTCGGAGATAAGAAGAAAATAACACTCGTGCCTAAAATCATCATCATCATCTTTTAAATGTAATCCTTATTTCAAAACTTTCTTGTTATAATATAAGTACTTGCATCTGCATTCCCAGTAGAGACTCGAGTATGGTGACTGTTAAACCTGCTGCAAACCCAATAGACATCACATTCTCCAGTGTCAGTTGCATACATCTAAATATTTATCCATGGTATTAAATCCCCTTAAAAGTCAATTGCATATAGAATGACGAAGGTTGATTGGTAACCATTTCCTATTGATAACAGCGGAGAATACCAATTTATTATCCATGTATCTAAAACTTAATGTAATTCCATATTAGTTTGTTTATTAGATGTATCACACTTACTTACTTTACTTTACTTCGGCTATCTCCTACGGGAGGATGAGCCGGCTTCATGAACCATGAAGTTTCATGGGAATTGGGTACGAGTGATGTCCCCAGGATCGCTCGGCCTTTTGTTTGAGAGTGCAGCTCTAGCCTCTACACAACCAAGTGTGACCTACAAGGCAGTAGGAGTGGAGTAGGAAGTCCACTATCCATCGGCAGCCAGTGACCGGAGTCCGGTTCATTCGCCTTTTTGAATGGGGCCAGTCATCCAGGGCATCCAATAAGCCCTTTGTCCATACGTCTGACGGTGAGCTTCATACGCCAGTCGTTGGAGGTTTGGAATCAGGGTTTAGCCATCTCCCCTAGACCGTCATCCAATGGACAGTCAACCCGGTGGAGAGCGCCGGGCATCCGCTTTCGCCCTCTCACTTTAGTGAGAAACACCTCCGCCACGTGAAGGCAGTGAGTAGGACTTCCTCAGGAGAGGCTATGTAAGACGCCCGGTCGTATGGGAGCATTTCAAGAGGTGTACGGAGGGGTGGATAGCCCGCAGCGCAAGACACCCACCCCCGACCATCCTGAGGCTTTGGAGGCACACAGTGAAACAGTATTATTTACTGGATGACAAGGTTTCGAACACAATTTAATATTGTTCATAATCATATCAATTTTGATCACACGACTTTGAAATTTTAGTTTTATAGTTTTCTTTGTATTCTCCTATTTGTCGTAATGGTAGTAGAACGATAATTGCTTCAACCTATCAGTAATTTCATCGCATCTCTGGATGTGTGGTGTCTGTATGTCTTGTCATCGTCTTGTTACTTTTTGCGTTGATTTCTTAATTTATTCCAGTGATGAATGGGGAAGATGGAATTACGCTATAGTAGCAATGGATGCTACACCGTATACTGATCCTGTAGAACAATATAGTGCTGGGGAAATGCTCAGAGAAATAAACAAGGTAACATGAGTTATTTTTACCTTTAAAAACGTGTTTATTTTTACAGCTATTGTCTTGAGGTTTGAGTGTGTCAAGACTAACTTGTTCCCTATTTCCTGGCTGTAAATTACTGTCAACCCCACTACTATTGAGCCTATATGAATAAATCACTATGTCTATTACTTGTGGTATACTTTGTCTATGTTACTGACATGTTTTTTTCGTTAGGTGCCCACCAAATTGGTTAGTTAAGCCTCCACACCGGCGTTATCATTAACCACGGAAATTCGAATAAAATTGGTTTCACTGACAGTTGTCAATTAGCCATCACATATAAGTGTTCAGTCTGTTGTTATTATGTAAATATTTACAGTGCCCCCTTTTGCGTGTTTTCGCCTCGCCCTGATAATGTTCGCGACCGATAGCTGCTACCTTGACGTGGTGGTCGGGCGTGCATATCCCAATAACCCAACAAGCTACACTGGGTGGAACTGTTGTTCCTGAAGGTCCTACCATGCCAGAAAGGTTGTTAGGATAACGATTAGACTAGAATCAGCTACAGGCATAGTGTAAGAATTTTTTTCCTGCACTATGCTAGGGGTCTGTGGGCGAATTCGTACTTCTGGGTGATGGATGCAACAGCACTAAGGTGTCTCCCTTCGATGACCAGCATGTCAGCCAGCTATGCTGTTTCTCCACTGTGGAGAGAGGGTGTTAGAAAAGGTCGACCCCACGAATTGTACATCCCGACTTACCCTATGGTGGTCCGTAGCTGGCGGTAAGTTTACTAATACGGAACCAACCAAAGAAACCAGATCATACAGGCCCTGTGTGACCGGCCTCAAGAAGTTGTTCCCTGTGCTCTGCGGTCACGGAACACTAACGCCGTTTCTGTTTCAGGTACCTGAAGAAGTAACAACCACCCACACACTTCCGGTAGCACACGAAGCCTTCCCGAGAATCACTCTCCTTTAGCCATATCACCTTCCTCATCTGAATTCCCTACTACAGTCTACCATTCTTCAGACAAGTGGGTCATCTTCATTTCACTCTGTACTTTACTTACTTTACTTTACTTCGGCTATCTCCTACGGGAGGATGAGCCGGCTTCATGAACCATGAAGTTTCATGGGAATTGGGTACGAGTGATGTCCCCAGGATCGCTCGGCCTTTTGTTTGAGAGTGCAGCTCTAGCCTTTACACAACCAAGTGTGACCTACAAGGCAGTAGGAGTGGAGTAGGGAGTCCACTATCCATTGACAGCCGGTGACCGGAGTCCGGTTCATTCGCCTTTTTGAATGGGGCCAGTCATCCAGGGCATCCAATAAGCCCTTTGTCCATACGTCTGCCGGTGAGCTTCATACGCCAGTCGTTGGAGGTTTGGAATCAGGGTTTAGCCATCTCCCCTAGACTGTCATCCAATGGACAGTCAACCCGGTGAAGAGCGCCGGGCATCCGCTTTTGCCCTCTCACTTTGGTGAAAAACACCTCCGCCACTCTGTGACCGAAGACAACTATGAGAGGCACAGAAACACTCCGGACAGCCACTTAAAGCCACATCGCCAACTTCATATAGGAGCATTTAACGTCAGGACCCTCTGGCCGATGGGACAACAGGCATCACTAGCAAGAAGTCTGTAATCTTGAGTCATGGATGTATGTTGTGTTTCAGAGACACGCATACAAGACCCGAGTGTGGTGATTCACTTAACCTCACCCGGCCAACAAGGCGAATCTGCGAAATTCACTTTAGGGTTGTCAGGAGACTCCTCAGCTAGTTCGCGAAGACTCGCCGGTATAGAGATAACATTGAGAGTTAGGTTGGGAAAATCGCTTCTTGACTGGATCCCAGTAGATAGTCGTATGTGTGGGGTCCGTCTGAACGGGTCCGTTAGAAGAAGGAAGGACGCCGTTACGCGTCAATGTCTTTACATGTCTTTACAGAACTGTAGATGACGATCGTATGGAATTTGTTTCCGAGAACGCTACAACGGTGATCGGCTTCCACAGTTCTGTTCAGATAATCGTGTGTTCCTGGTCATCAATAAGTTGAGGCACAAAGAGAGACACTGTGTAACCTGGTGACCTCCATCACAAATCGCCGCTGGTCTCAGATAGACCACATAGCGATAGGGTATGGTTGATGAGGGTCAGTAGGAGACTTCCACTCATTCTGGAACATGTGTCTAGGCTCCGATCATACCCTGGTCCGCCAACATTTCTGCTTACGATTAAACGGACATAAAAATTGTTGGTAACGAAGCAGTTACGTCCTCAACTAGATTGAGACTCTGAGTCCCTATTTAAGGAAGAAATAGTAAAATGAGTATCTGAGGTCGACAGCATGACTCCTCCTGATGTAGCCTGGCACGACATACAGCTAGCTGTTGACATGGCTGTCAAAGCTGTTAGTAACCTGAAACCTTAAGTTAGTAAGAGTCATTGGATTTCTACGACCTGATCCGAACTGATTGACACAAGAAGTCTGGTTCCGGTGGGCTCCGATTATGATGATGAGCGAAAGCTACTCGAACGCAAACTAACAAGAAACCTCGAACTGTTTCACATCAGTGCAAAGTTGTATGTTGAAACCAGTCAGTCAGTGTTTCGCGTGCTTGCTTATCTTGCTTCTTTTTGTAGTGTCTGTAAGGAAGTTATGAGATCTTTCACGAAGCTACAAAGCGAACAAAGATTTGTGGGTGGTTTTGAAATGCAAGGCATTAAACTTCAGTCTGCTGGTAACATGATAATCGCCACACCTTGTGGTCCTAGATTCTGACATTAGTATCTCCTGCGGAGAATCCCCAAGTTACTTCTAATTGGTTCTCAAGATAAGGTTGATGTATGTATGAATACCATGATATGGTTATAAACAGTAATAATTTGTGCTGGAAACGTGGTCATCAGTAAATGTTACTGTATAATATTGTATGATTTTATGAAAACAAAATTTTATCCATAATGTAGTTATCCTCTACCACAGTGCTCAAGTTTTATTTTTATAGCTCTCTTTACTTTATTCTCTTGCTTTGTGTGTTACATGGAGTGTAGCAGGTCGAGCTGCTGCACATCTGTGCGAAGTTCCATTTTGATACCAGCCAGTCAGTCGATGTATGATCATTTTTTTAATGCATCCTAGCTAAGTATATAATTGAATATTTATCACTGTCTTGAATATTGTACTCTGAACTTGTGTGGTCTTCAACAATTAAGCTAAATCAGGGATTAATCACCTTGAGCCATACAAAAGTAAAAATATTCATGATGTACGTTCCGCCGAAAGTTGTAGTGAAATCTAGGATTTCAGTGAATATTATTGTATAACACCACTGTGTGATTTATCAAAATAAAATCTTATCTTTAATGGAGTTATACTCTACCACCACAGTGCTCAAGTTTTATACTTATATCAGTTTACTAATTTTTTTTTGTCTTTTTTACTTTGAGGCTTATTGTGGATTCTCTGATGAGTTGTTTCCTAACAGAAAACTACCATCAGTTGTCGCTACTGGAAACTGGGGATGTGGTGCTTTTCGTGGTGATGTAGAACTAAAATGTAAGTGGGAAATTTAAAAAGAAGAGTAGTATTTAAATGTTTAGTTAGGAGTAGTAGTTTTTAGTCTATTTCAACCTTCTTTTTAGAATTCAGTACAATTACTTTGGTTTGACTGGTTGTCTTCTGTGCGATATATCGTTACACATTCGCATTTGTTGTTATCTCATAGGACTTTTCCAGTCATTCAACAGTATTAGTAGGAAACAATGAATACAGTAGTTTTTCCTAGTGTGTTTTCAGAAACAACCTCATTTGCATCACTTATGAATTTGGAATTCGAAGGTGATCAAGCTTCAGATATACCCAAAAGCCGACTCTCTGAATCAGTTACTAAGATGTTACTTGTAGCGAAATTACAAATGACGCTCACCAGCCGCAAGTTGTTCTCCGTCTCTGTAAAAGATAAGCTCCCCCGTTTGGCCGCCTCCATGTGCATCTCTCGGTTCACCCGCTCCTTTTGTGATGCAAGGTACATAGGCCGTAGCCAGAGGACACTTTCCACGCAGATACGAGAACCTATTCCAGAAGGGAGAAAGGAAGTGTGTGCGGAGCTCTATTCTAGAACACCTGATCGACTCCTGTCAATCTCCCAACCTTGACCATGAATTTAAGATCATCTACTGAGTCCACACTAAATTGTCTCGTTTTCTTCGTTACAGACTTCTAAAGACAGCAGACGCCTTGGTCATTCATGAATTTAACCCAGACCTTTGTGTACAACAGAAGTATGTACAATCCCTACTTCTGCCTTGGCCGTAGAATGGTAGACATTTATTTATTTTCAAGTATTGGTTTTTGTAGGGATTTGGTTTGATTAGTTGGGCGATTTCATTATTTTATTTTTATTTTTGATTACAGCTTGATTCCACACTGTATTTTTGGTACAAGTATGGAATTTTCAGCGTGGATATCGGTAGCCCGAAATCCGCAGGCCGAGCATCGATATCAGGTGTGAGTCGGAAGGGGTTCGAACCTCGGACCATGTGCATGGTCGGCGAGAGTCCTAACCACTGTGCCACCGACGCATGAGCCGACATCAGTTACAGTGTGGTGAGAGCAGGCCGTGAGAAAATATGAGCAAGGCTGATTCAACAACCAATCACAGCAAAGTTAACGTGGCAAAATATGATTCGCAGATAGAGAACTCTATTTGTCGAGGAATCCCGAAACAACCAATCAGAAGCCTGCGTTTGTCTGCCTAACTTCTGATAAACAACCAATCAGACGACTGCGCTTGTCTATAATAATGTATGTGAAATATGTATAAATACGTGTTGATTTTCATAATAAAACGATCTGTTGCCTGGCCCTTGTCTTCTGTTGTTACAAGAGTACCACTGGAAAACCTGCAGGGAGTACTGAGCAGCTGTTTCGTCCTGGTCTGGGACGGGGTTCGAATCCAGGACCTTATGGTTACAAGGCGAGCTCTCAGACCATTAGGCCGCTGAAACCCGATCCAATGGCCAGCCCATGAATTCTCACTCCCGCCAATTCATGACATAGCGTGACTACTTCACAATACCTTCTTCAATGAGTTGCTACCTCACCTTTAACCTACTTTATTATTTATTTGTTTATTTTGTTTATTTAGTTAATCTATGTACCTTTCCCTTAATACTACGATTATTATTATTACTTTTATCATTTTGAACTGTTTCCACTTGCCCTATCGGTGATTGTAAATCCAAAATTTTCTTTTAACAGTATTGAATTCTGTCTTATTCAATTTCACATCATGCTAATAAACATTTTATATCAGTCTCCTAACCCTATAATTATGCACCCCTTTCCAACACCAATATGTGTGCGTCGGTGGCACAGTGGTTAGGACTCTCGACGACCATGCACATGGTCCAGGGTTCGAGCCCACACCGGCGCACACCAGATATCTATGCTCGGCCTGCGAATTTTGGGCTACCGATATCCACGCTGAAAATTCCATACTTGTACCAAAAATACAGTGTGGAATCAAGCTGTTACCAAAAATATAAAAAAAATAAAATATAACTTATAAATTATTCCATAGATAACATTAATTGTTTTGCTACTCAGCATCTAACTATGATTATAGTCACAAATATTTTAATTGCATTTCATGTTACTATTATTATTATTACTTCATGTCAATTATTCAATGAATATTAACCGTTTTCTTCTCTCCCTCCCTCTCTCTTGTGTTGTTTTTCAACCATGTGCAGGCATACTTCAAATGATGGCATGTGTACAGGCGAAGAAATCTTTAGCTTATTTTACTTTTGGAGATAAGCAATTTTGTGATAGAATTTACGAAATTCACACACTACTTTCCTCGCAAAAGGTGACTGTAGGTAAGATGAACCAGATGGTGTCTGTTTATCCAATTAAATTTTTACTCTGGTAATTTGTATAAGAATTCCAAAGTGTAGAAGTCACTCAGCCGCATTCTATAGATATATTTTCTTTAATTAATTAATATAATTAAATTCACTTTCTTAGTTTGGTTGTACGGTCATTAGTATTCATACCAAATATTTAGTTATTTCGGTCAAATAAACAGTGTGGCTACCAGATTTAGCCCTAATCCAACTTCGTTATATACATTATATCATTCATTTGTTGTGTTTCGAGTGGAACATAGGGCTTCAGCGACACATTCCTATTGCACTCGGCTCTCTGTGCTGTCACTTTCAGTTGTCTACACGACTGCCCCCTCACATGACGTCCTCTTCACTGTTGGAAATGCGACACGTCGACTCTGATTCTATTCGAAGGCGTGACGACATGTGCTGTCGCTAGAATTTCTCTTCGGTGTATGTGTAGTCCATCTCGATTTCCTTCTGCGCATTTGTCGCACAGTAGGATGTTATCTGGTTCACTGCCGGAGTTGCTTGTTGCTTATCCTCTCTGAACAAGCATCAGATGTTTACTATTGGTTGAAGATAGCTGGCTGCACTAGCCAAGTCTCTGAAACAGTACTGACACAATGTTAATGTTGGAAATTTAGATCGTATTCCTTGTGCTGAGTGCTGTCTATCTCCATACTAATTTCAGGGCCTGTTTTGCTTTCCTAATCCGATCCTTGCTGGCTTTGACATCTTGTAGTTGAGATGGTGCTGCCTAGCCGGGTGGGAGTGATAACTTCCATCAGATTTTACTCATCGATGATGATTGTTATCCGTTGTTGTTGGTTGGGTATCTTCGCCACCTCTGTCTACTCTACATTCACCTGAATCAAGTCTTATCTTCGCCGCCTCTTCTGTCAACCCGTTGGTTTTCGTAAATGTTCGAGTCTGTACAACGTTAGACATGAATTCTCTGCTTAGTACAAATCTAGAGTCTTTTAATAGTTCAATTTGTGCCCGTCTTCTCTCTCCACACGGTCTACCACATGTCATTCATTCGAATTTAGACGGTGCCATCTGGCTGAGGTCTTGTCCATTACTGTTTTCAGTTGTGTGTAGAAGTTCTCCTTCTTTTGGTCTGAGTTCTTTGTAAGTGTATAATTGTAAATTCCTTTTCAGTTGAATCTTGGTGTCATGATCCTGTAAGAGATTGGCTGCCACCGCGTGCGAACCTTCGATACTCTTGGTGATCTGATAATAGTCACACCCTCAGTGTGCCCGCCATTGAATGTTGTTTTAAACATATCTGCTCATAAGGGAAGTGCTCAGGATGCTTATAATCTTTATAAAGGCGTTGCTGGAATTCAGGCAGCTATGCGGCACAGAAACTGATTATGTTTACACAGGAGATCCGAATTCATCATTCTTACATGATCTTAACTGAAATATACATACTCTGGCAATTTCTCGACTTCTGTATAGAGGGTACCTAACTAGACTACCAGGAAACTAGTGGTTTTACTAAGAGCACGTAAGCCATATAGTCGTCTTGCATAAAAATATGAATGCATCTAGTACGGATCTGGGTGTTTTTACCACACCCTGCCTGTATCATACTCGAGATTATTCTATGGGACTAGTCTGCGGTAGAATATGTATTGCTAATTCACTCTATTCACGCATATAAAGTTTGTTTGGCATTTCCGATTTACCTTGTCCTTGACTCTTGAGAGAAATCCTGCTTCATCCTACTTTAGAACTATGGGACATGGTTTTTAAAAGTACATATCTGTGGTTACAGTTGTCTTTTTGTACATATGTTCATTTCTGGTAAAGAATGTGTTACAAACTTGTGATATAAGCCTTTTTTTATAGTTATGTATGAGTTTATAATACAAAACGTAATTTGGATATTGGTATGCTTGCTTAATAAACTTCAACCTAAATTGTCTTTTATTTCCATTCATAATGCAGGAAATCTTTGGCGGATTCTAAGTGAAAATTCTGAATCTCTCTTGGACTATAACAATTCTGTATTTGATTTTATTTCGCAGACTTTCGAATGTATGAAGTAATCTAGAGATGTAAAATGATGATATTCATTTTTATGTGCCAAATCTTTTGTACTTCTGACTTTTTTTTCTAAACTAATTTGACCTATTATTATTGCTACTTTTCCTGATTTCTTGTTTTATGGCATGCGGGGATGGAGTCGGTAGGTAAGTGGGTGTGAAGCATTTGACCAAAGAGATATCACACAGACTAAAAATCGCTGATTGTAAGTCGTGTTGACAAGAAAAAACTGCGTAACAGAGCCTCATCAGCTGAGTTTCCCGATTATCGGTGACCAGACTTAAATCTGAAGAACTACCATTGTAAACGTGTCATTATATACTAGGTCACCTTGTCACATTTCCTTTCTCTACATTAAATTGTAACGGCCTGATATTAGTAGCAGGTAGACAACAACATGAGTGCGTTTACGCCTTCAGTGTTGAATTTTGATTCGTATCACATAGTCCCTAACTGTCAACTTTTGTTTTTCTCGCCGATCCTGAACAGAAAGTTTTGGGAAAACCTGTAGTGTTCTGAATAAAACTCAGGATTACCACATAACTGTCTATTAGTGATTTTGTTTGTTGCTGTCTAACGAAGTGTCTCAAAACAACTGGTCATCTGGAAGTATTCCCTCACACTGTGGCTGATACAGAAGTCACATTTAACTGAGACAGCTGCGACAACAATAACAACTTCACCATTCACATTACAGAATATATTATTCTTTACACATGAAGGGAAATATACACCGTAGATTCATGAACAGTATATGATTGATTGCATCAGTCATGACTTTACGGGTGACATTGTCATCGTTAACACGTGTGAATCAATTAGAAGTCAAGAGAAGAGCAGCAAATAATGATAGTTGTAAAATCTTGTAAAACAGAAAGGAGGAAGTGAGCACCGAAAGCTTCTTTTCAATTATGATGAGAATAAGGCGTAATGCATATGTTCTCCTCTGTGGTTATATTGCCGTCCAATGTAGGTTGGACAGAAACCCAATCACTTCATGGATTATATATACTTCTTGTTGCGGTCGTTTTTTCTTTCCATTCTAATTACGCTTCAGTTAGTATAAAATTATATAAATGATAAGCAGACGTGCATAGTGCGTCGGTGGCACAGCGGTTAGGACGCTCGCTGACCATGCGCATGGTCCGGGGTTCGATCCCTGGCCGACGCACTCCTTTACCTCGCTAAGCCAGAAACAATGCTGGTAAAGAGGAGAGATTAGGCATGACTCTACAGAAACCTCAAGCCACTAGCTTGAGGCCCTATGTTCCACTGGGAACGTGAAGCAAAAATAAAAAAAGCAGGCGTGCATAACTTCACTTCCTGACTAGTTCAACCTCTGTAACCTATTTAAGAATTGAATCGCCCAATATCTAAAGGGCCAAATATTGTCGAATAAAACTTGGAATCATCATGTATCTGTCCAAGTGATAATTTCAGCCAGAAATGATGGTACTGCATTAACGTATCCACTTGCATAATTTGTCTTAAAGCATTAGTAGACCAATCAGTCTGTCAAATTTCATACTATGTTGCACCACAATGACTGGCTTTCAGCTATTTGGGATGTGAAATGTGTGAATTCATCAACCTGGACATATAAGATGCAGTTGAGACTAATTAGTTAGTCGAAGGTCAGTTATCCAGAACAATTGTCATCCATCAAACTATGAACCGCAGTTATACCTATACGTGAAGTCATCGTCTCCATACACTGGAGGTCTGATTCGAAGTGACCGAATGTGGTGTAAATTCATTTGTGGAGTGAAAGGAGGAACATTGAAGAGGCAATACGACAGAATGCAAAGTGAAATTAATTTGAGAAGTAGGTATGGAGGCGACTTCAGTGTATTGGTCGTTATTGATAGTCGTTGAGGTGTTTGATGATTGAGTCATACTAGAGTAACTGTTGTTTTCTAATTGAGAGTGTCACTCCACATAAGTGTGTAGTCGAAAATACAGTTGCTTGTGTTTGGTTTCACACATGACGTTTTTTGAGTCAGACTTATTTGGGTGAAAAACACACTACCTCCAGCTGTCGGTCAGTTCGCTGACATGAGATTTCGTAGATATCTTGTGTAGAATTTTCCGAATGACTTGATTTCCCTACTTGAATATTGAAATCAACTGATGACATCGCGACACGTGAGTGTTTTACTTTGTGTAGTACGTTGCATAGCTTCTGGTTGGATTCGTGCTCCGTTTGGCTTGAACTGTTGTCAGTGAGCTTGAAGATACAGGTGTGTACGGCCAACTCCTGACTGACTTGCTGGTGTACTTTTCCATGATTCAGAATTTGTTCTACACCTTCACTCCTTGGAGATGTTCAGGGAGTTATAAAGGATAAGGAGCCTGTTTAAGAATAGTGTCAACATTAAGAGTAAGCAAGAACATGAAGATGGTGATTGATGCGATGAATTTTGTATGTTGATGAGACAGTGTGAACAGTTAGTGCTTCCAGTCTGCGTACAATAAGGAAGTTGATCTTTATATTGCGATAGACCCATAAGGCAATTGCTTAAGGTCGATTATATAGTCTGTTTCGAGGTGAACTTCAAGATGCATTGTAGTGCTTCATACGAATCACAATATAGGATAATTCAGGATAATCTTTTAAGTTGATCCATTGAAGTCAACCTTCTTATAGTGAGAAGTCAGCATAACTACTTTGCTTCTTGGCCGAACAGAATACTTCTGTCACACTATTACAAGCAGCGCAGGTAGTAAATCTGTGTCCTCAGAACTGAATGAAACTAATTTAGCAGGCAACAGAGGTGAATGTTGGCAATTTCCGGGATACACTTGAGTACTGTTGGAAATACGAATACAGTTGTCGCTTTCGTTGTCATTATGCTTTGGAACCGTGTATGTTATATAATAAGCTACCGAAAATTATATTAGGGTTAGTGATTTCATGGATAAAGATTATGAGTTAAGCTTCGTAAAACTAGTACTTTCAGCTATTTCGAGGTAAACTGATAAAAATCTGATTACATACTATCAGATTATAATTTTCTATAACCTCAAACTTCCACCTTCTGTCTCATAAATCTCTTCGTTAAGGTGATGTTCACTTGGTCTAACACTTTTGGATGAAGGGATCGTAAGCTATTCTACGTTTAGTTATTCATTAAACACAAAAGACTAGGTACAATATGGCACCAAGATGACGTGCCACACAATAATAATAAAACATAGATTAAAAGTAACAATGTAGGTGCAGAGAACGGATAAAGAACTTCATCTGGAAGAAAAACAGTCATACTCAACAAGTGCAAACAGCATCGGTCAATTATCGCCGGAAAGGGAAGAAAGAAGGAAATTGCAGCACGTTCGCCCTTCACTACGATTCTTGGCCATATCTAATAGCATTTTGAGTCACCGATTCGAGCTATCTGTTGGACTCCAACTAGGGAGTTGTGACGCACCAACTGATGATAACCTAGCACAAATACCCTTCATCTCACGACGCCATACCATTGGCCACCTGATCACTTCTCTGCCTTTTCCATCCCGTCCCAGGACTAGCGAACAGAGACTGACACGGAGGCCTCTGGGATAACATTCGAGGCATATGTCCAACTCACCGAAGCCAGATGACAACACTCAACAAACAGTGATCTCCACTGTGTTCAAACAAACACCGCCGAACCTCAGAATTATTTACAAGACGATGCCATCGAGAGCAAGCAATCCTACGGTGATAATAATGATCGAATACGCAGAGCCGCCGCATATCTTCAGCTGGGGAAGTCAGGTTTCACAGACGTAGAGCAAGGCAGCCTGCATCTAATCATTGTATACCCCGACCTCTTACAGACAGGCTAATGTCGCGATGACGCCAGAAGTGGCTCAAGTTGACCTATGGCAGCCTAGATTTCATGATACGGTTGGAAATTTCATCCGTCATCCCTCCCCCACCACTCATACAACTACTCAGATACACAAACTTATCAACAACTTCAAGGGGTTGACCGGGAAGAGTGAGTTCAAGTACAGGCTCTTACCAATCTTGTAACAGTACTTTGCACTTAGACAGCAAAAAGCACACACCATACTTACCTTGTGCGGAGAGCTGGCTGGAAACAAGCCAAAATTGTAGACAGCAATCTACGTCAATGTTACGTCCCAAATCAGGGTCATGAGAAAAACAATAACAAAGCTTAACTTCGAGAAACACACCAACCAATCTTAGCAGACTCAATGTGTGTAAATACGATTCGGGGTATATGACTTAACTTTCTGAGAAATGGTCACAGGCAGTAGAGAATAACCTTCAGCAAGAAAACAACCAATCAGAAGACGCAGCTTCTCCGCTGACAATAATGTACATAAATATCTATAAATACATCTTGATTTTCTCAATAAACAATCTGTTGCCTGGCCCTTGTATTCTGTTGTTACAATCTGACTATATAACACCATTTAAAGAATAGCAATTAGAAGCCGATATATTCTCATTCTTGAACTTTTGGGTGTCAACATAAGACGATGAATAGTAGGTTAGTGTATTAGCTAAAAGCAGTATGGATGGTTAGGTGTTCATTTGTCATTTGTCCTATTTTTTTGCTTACCATTGATTCAAGAAGAACTAAAGGGAAATATAACCTGGGAGAACAGGTTTAAGTTAGACGAGGACCTTATATTGATGGTGAAAAGTGTGTTGAAATTACTAGTTCTCTGAAGAGATCAGTAATAACTTAATGTTTGATAGGATATCTAGATTCGAGACAGAATTATCGTTCTTTTGACACTTGTTCAGTCCTTGAGATAAACAAAGTTGACAGCGGTGGTAATATAACCTATTGAATGGTGATAATAAATATATAACCTTGGTGATTCAGGACTTCCTTGCAACTAATTTATGGCATGTAACACCTAGTGCTTGTATACAATTAAACAAAATATTGAAGATTCAGAAATATTTCTGTAGACTTTAATGCACAAAACTGTCTCACATTTTTGGCTAAAATATTCTAAGTAAACCATTTAGTTTTTTCCTGTCTATAATAGAAAAGAATACACTTTTTATACGTTTTAGATAGACCTACTTGGACTTATTGGACTTTGCTGAAAAGAAAATTTTCTTCGCTGCAACAGTCTTTTTAATTATTTGCATCGATTAAAGATGCCCATTCGAAATTTCAAAAGATTGAATATTGAACAAAAAATATTCCTTTGGACATCTTCATCATCAGGTATTATGGAATATGTAAAATTATAATACTAAATTGAACGTTAATATTACAAAGTAAATGATTATGAATGACAACGAATGTACAGGAATAAAGTCTCATGAGTTATCTTCATATCAACTGCCATTCATATTGATTATAACTACTACAGAAGGATGAGTGATCATGTCAAGGACGGGGAGAGATAAAAGGGGTTTTTGGGGGGTTGGAATTTATGTGCGTTTTGTATGTGTGTAAGTTAACAAATAAGTTTAAGTAAAAGAACAAAAGGTTAGTTA